TAGTACCGTTATTAACATAAAAACAGTCGACAGACCTATTGTAAGGACACACTGACTGTATTGTAAGGACACACTGACTTAATTTTATGGATGACATGCTTTGAAGACCCTAAACTAGTGCGCGTGGGCGAATAAAAAAGTCCAGCCCAAAAATGCTGATAAACAACAGGAATACAAATTATAATGATAATTTGCGGTAGTACTTTTACGGCAAGCCGGTAAAGCCTTTTGCGGCATTTATGAGCCGTCTGCACTATCCCGAGCCGCTATGCACTATGGGAGGGGGAAGATATCAATCACCCACACATGCCAGTTCCTGTGTAGCAAGGCAGGGTAAGAAAGGTGAACCATTGCGCGATGGAAGGTTTGAGATAACAGGAGATTTAAAAAAAAAAGTGGGCGGGAGGCTATAACGACGTTTTTACCATTGGAATTGCTGGCAACTATAAAACGCCCATTGCCAGTCCCGAGGTCGAATGTTTCCTGCAGGATTTTTTGTCCATTTTCGACTGAGACCCCAGGATAGCGCAAGCGCAGTACCCACAGATCCACGAAGGTTAACACGAAGTGACCAGGGACATCTCTGGACCGTGTGTACTGTGGTCTGCGAATAATGTTATTCCCAAAAGGCTGGCGTACGCCTGAAAAGACATCCGCGCATACCGCTTTGCTTCTGTTCGGGCCCCGGCCTAAGGCCCCCTCTTTTACCAGCCATATCTTAACCCGAACAGAGGGCATAGCGCGCGGGATTTGGTACTGTACTGAGTTCTTAAGTTCTGTGGAGCTTCGACAGCCTGGGTGCCATCCTCCGTAGTTACCGCCGGCTCCCTATTGTCGCTAGCTACCATGGACCACAGAGGATGGCACCAGGCCAGAGCCTCGGAGGACCGGAGGTGATTTTTAGTTGAGAACAGGCGGGAATCAATGTGCGCGCGAATGTCCTCCTTAAAATTAAACCAATGTCGTCTGAATGAGGAACTACGCATCTACGTACGGAATCACTTTTCTCAACAGACCAATTGCAGAAGTCACACTCTTTAAAATGAACCGACAACACGTCGATACGTGGCACTTCATACCGATTACTTGCAGTAATTTCTTCCTGTTTCCTCAATTTATCTGACAAAATGCTGTAATCATATACATTTACCACGGCATATCAAGCAGTAAGTGTAGGTGATTATTTCAATATTCGGCATTGTGGAGTAAAATTACAATGACGTTTCCTGATAACACGTTTGTGCGCAAATCCCGTCACACATTCAGACCTTCCGAACTCCAGCCGACCAAGGTCAAGGTTGGCTGAAGTTCGGGAGCGGTCTGACCAGATTTAGGCCCGCCTACATTTCTGTACGAATCAGATTGAATTTGAGTCCAATTTGAAAGTCGACCACGCCTCAACTTACTCCCGAACACCAGCCAACCGCTAGTCAACTATTGCAGAACCTCACATCCACACTCGAATGTTTCAAACATTTTGAAACATTTGGGTGGCGCATCCGAACAGTAGCCAACCTGGCTGAACCGACCCAACCGACCTTCCTCTCGACCTACTCCTAGCCATGGCTGGGGAGTTCGGCAGTGTTCGGGAGGCCATATTCGGCTCAGTGTGACAGGGACCTGACTGGGCTGCTCCCTGGTGCGGAGGATCTTACTGTTAATCGCGGGCATTTTGCTTCGAAACGTCTCCGTGAAGTTAACGTTTACCATACATAATGTTACATATTGTACCGAACAATTTAGATACAGATATTTTACAACTATACATTAAGCAACCACAACATGGAATTTTACATACGTTCATCTCTGAAAGATATACTTCCGCGACAGCAGGGGTACTTTCTATAAACATAAAAAAGGATTCGCAAACCTACCCAGATAAAAGACCTGGGAATAATGCCGCCCGACACGATAGACGTGCACATCAGAAGCAACAGGGACAGGTACAGTCTGACCATAGTGACAACCTCTGCTGCAGGAGCTGACTTCAGACACGCGCTAGCTTCGGTACAAAACATCAAGTGATCGGCTTGCTCTTATTCCAATTGAATTGTCCAATCTCCTGTCTACTCACCGTTCTACGATATAATAAAGTTATATAGCGTTGTAAGATCATAGTGCAAGCCCCTCTGGCTGTCCGTAAAGTTGATTACAACATGTAAAACATGCGTCATCAAAGTACGCTGCAATTATCCTGCCAGCCTGAAGAGCTGTTAGAGAATATTGGAGATCGTGAATATGCGAACTGTGGCTGAACAATGGAGACTAACGAGTCAAGAGCAATTAACGATTGAAACGTTACATTGCAGCTTGTTAATAACTTCAAGTACTAGAGTTATCAAGCCAGGATTGAGGTGTTCAAAGCTGGGTTTTTTTCCTAGTACTCTCGTAGATTGGAACTAGCTGCCATCATGTACAGCAGGGGCATCATCACTAGATAGATTTAAACAGCAAATTTATATACAACAGTTCGTTCGAATAATTCGGTGAATATAGCCAGCTGCCGAAATGAAATGAAAATGAAGCGTCTTTCATTTGCCATATCTAGTCTGTGTTTAGTCATTTGTTCAACCTTCATGACCACGAAGATTTCATAAGAAAGGAAACTTGTTTTGCCACGCTTGCATCAGTTTGGGGTTCCCAGAGGATGCCATAGATAGAATCAAATCAACTTGGCCTAATGTGGTACAAAACAAATTCATAGTAATCTACAGTAAAAACATGATTTTGAACGTTGAGAAAAAATATAAGGATTTCGAGCGTTGAAGTTAGTAAATTATACCAAGACCACAAAGGCCACAAATGTTACCTAAATACAGGGAGGTTTCAGTCGGTCACCATTCGTGTCAATGCCCTGTCCTAAAAACGTACAAAGCATTTAGATCAATCCAGAAACACGAATGTGTGGTTTGATCAGATTTCAGGTAAAGCGTCTTCAGTACCTTTGATATTAATTGAATGACGTTTGTACTACTCTAGTCTGTTGTAAAAGCAAGGCCTCGAGGCATCAGCCTAAGTCGGTGGAGAAAGCTTGGTTCGGGCTACGCTCCAAGGTACGTAATACTCTACCTTCTACCGTACGAGATATGCAGTAAACTTCATTCCTGTCCACGCAAAACTGATCCAACACAAAGCCTCGGACTAAAACTGACATTTCGTCAGATTAAACACTTCACTATCTTCAATTTGCAGACGCAGGTTCTTTACGACACCACGCTTGTTCGTGACACTACTGCGTGTGACTCGTCGGTCTGCCGTGACCAGAGCAATCACTCAAACTGACAGACGCTCTGGAAGAGAGCAGTAAAACATATCATACCTCCAACAAGCCCAGGAAAATACTGGCAGCCGCAGGACGAGCTGTAAGCAAAGCCACCAATATGAGCACCAAAACAGCCATGACGACTCCCTGTATGTAGTCTGTCTGTTAGTGACTTCTGCTGACAACGCCAGGGTTATATCAACTCGTGCCTACGTATGCAATATCCTAATTAAGGCCTAACGACGGTTTGTAGTGTAACAAAACACTGTTGTCAAGAACGGGCTCATTATGCGTGATCGGCATATATATTCAAGTGACAATTTCTGGAGCTGGGATTTTCGAAATTGACGTCAGTTTTGCGTAGAATCAGGTAATCCCATTGTTACACTGATCCGTCCTGACGTCAAATGAAATATCACACCACCAAATCAACTTTCCTTGAAAGAAAATCAAGTATTCTTTAAAGTTATCATAATCACGTTAAGACGCACGCACGTCTACAGCACGGTAATGTTTAAATATTTACAGCAATATGTTAATGAAGGTTAGACATCCAGGTAAACGATATTCAAAACTATTCAAACTCTACCACATGTACTGGGTCATTACGGGCATATGTTCCGGACGTTTTGAGTGACATCCGTCACTCTTCTTCAGCGTTTTAAAAAGAAATAAGAGAACTAGTCAAAACTCTCACATGTAACATAACTGAAAAGACAACAGTTGAAACACTCCTTTGCAAATGAGGATAAGGTACTCCTATCTTACTGGTAAGACAACAGCATAGGAACTGCTACTGTCACTTGGGTGGTGACAGGGCGGAGTCTCATGCACTCGAGAGTTCTACACGTAGTCCTCCCTTCCGCTCGTAGATGTCCTCACTAACTAATACTATCAGCGATAACATACATTATACTATATAGCCCGGATTGTCTGGCTAGCGGTAATGAAATGTTAGAATTGTTAGAAGATAGACTCCCGGTGACACCATCTATTTGCAAAGCCTTCACATACGGGACAAAACGTAAAAGCGGAAAAAAATTTGAAAGAGACTACACAAATAAACATGGGTACTTTTAGATGACGATTGTACCGTTAAGCCTGATCGTGTCCCGTACCTGTTACATGTAGGGGACCTGAGAAACCCCTGTCACACATTCAGAACCTTCCTCGACCACCTAACAACCAAGATTGGCTCAAGTTCGGTTACGTTCTGACCAGATATAGGCCACGCGTACCTTTCGTTGTGAATCTAATCGAATTCAATATAAATTTGAGTTAGACTTGACCCCCGAACAGGCTCCAGACACTGCTGACCTCCTCCCGGACACCGACCAACCGCCAGCCAACTGACCATGCCTCCACCTACTCCTGACTAACCATGGTTTGGGGAGGTCGGCAGTGTTAGCGAGGAAATATCCGGCTATGTGTGACACCGTACAACTTCAACTTCAATGATCATCTATTGAATAATACTGGATATTTACAGCACTGTTGCTTCACTAGATATTCACGTGCACAGGAAGGTACAATTTTGGAACAACTTTTGTGTTTTAAGTCATCGTTGCCCTGATGGAAAAAAAGTCGAACGTTATAACCAACTGGTTGTTGAATATAGAACCTTCTTGTAAAGTCTCTTACCAAGATGATGAAATTAACCAGCATGTACTTGCATTAATTCTCAACAGTACAATCTAGTAAAGTGCAACTTCAGTCAGAAAGGACGTGCTTCACTCACCCCTATCATGTTCAGGAACATTCCCTGCGTCAAAGTGGTCATCATGAAGCAAAGCAGCAGCAAGTTGGTGCCCATTGTCTTGTCTCGTCTGTCCGGCCCTCGGTACTCTCAATCACCAGTGATTCTACCGTTATTATACACAAGGGTGCGCCTGCGCGATGATTTAAAAATTTCAGATGTATCGGTGCACCCCTGATGACCAGTGACTAGCCTTGAAGAGAGTGTAATCGCGTTTCCCGGTGTCGTCAGTGTGCGATGAAACCGACACACGCATCAATTCCCTTCGGTTACAAAGACACCGCGTTTGAATACCACAAGAAAGTCTTTCCTACGCCGCAGGAAATTGCTTCCCACAGCGGATCGGCGTCCATTAACAGGCCGACCCCCTAAATGCGTAAATGAGACCATCCAGAAATAAAGCACTTTGTTACAAATGGACGGATGGAACTTTTACGTCATCGGGGGACGTATTAAGTGAAATGTGCCCAAGCGTAAGAGGGACTTCAAGTTTACTGTAGATAATGTGGATAATGTTTTTATGACCTCCAGTAACTGGGGTCGCGACTTCTTCCTTGTAAGTTAAGTCTACATTATGTTGGTTGTGAATCATTTACTTCTTGTCACGTATTTCTATACCGACGGTCCTCAGTTACTTACCAAATAAATAGTCTCAGAGAGGAAAATGCCCACTTCATTGCTAGAAAGGGAATAATTGGAATTGCAATGGTGGATTCAAGAAGGTTAGTCAAGTGGCTTTTTTGGTCACATCGACGGAGTTAATTCGCTTAGACGTCGCCAGAAAGGTGCTAAAAATGAGGTTAAGTGTACTAAAAGAACAACATTTGTAGTAACAGATAATTTATCTTTTTAACAGCGTTTTACGGTGAGTGTTTTCTGGATGCCAGATAAAAGCATTTCCCATTAATACAAACAGGCGAACCCAACTTTCCAGAACGTTTACATGTGAATAAAATGTAATTGCAGATGTCTTGACTCCATTTATCACACTGTTAACTGGTTGCTTCATACGCAGAATCTTTATTGATGATCACGATTCGTGTAACCGATACACGGTTTAGTAGATATAGTAGATAAGACTCAATAACACGCATGGCAAGTTACATTAGGCTATAGCAAGTAAACTTTATGGATGACATCCTACGCAGTCTCCAAATCTAGTGTGATAGGGCGAAAGAAAACAAGGCGGGCAAAAAAAACAAGATTCCTACATTTTCATATTTTGACGTCATAAACCTTGTTAAACAAGCAATGATACTTATATTGTGATATGTTTACTGTCAACTATTGCAACATCCATTTGTCGCTGAAACAACTTTGAAAAATTTTGAAATTTAAGTTTGAAATCTAAGTTTTCAATCATCGTGCAAATGGTGTTGATTCAGTGGGAACATCACGTATACGCATCCACTATTACATATAAAAGGAATGAAATACAACACTTCATCAAAGTAAAAGACCAAAAAAAATTAAATCAGAGCCTTGCCTTGTCTCCTCTCTTCATATTTATCGGCCACCCACGTTCCGGCATGGCAACAGACATATTTGCCAATTTTCGGCATGTTGACTACTGTCAGAGGCCAACAGAATTTCTTTTTTTCCCAAAAATCAGGCGAAAATTAATGCGAGTGGTGATGTCATCCATAAAAATTACTTGCTGTGGCCTTACAAAGAGAGAGACACAAACAAAGTAATCATCTCAACAACTGGATGCATGTTAAGACGGTTTCCTACAGCTCTGACATCCAGTCAGTTATTAATGGTGCTGCTTTCTGCATTTACGCTATCTATTTAGAGTGTCTCTTCCCCTTCAATCATCTCACAAACTGGCACGACAAAACCGAGATAACTTCCCCCATTTCACCCCAATGTTACGCTGAATAGACCTACTGACGTAGGAAGAAATTCTACCGCTGATTACACGTGAAAGCCTGATTCACATCCCATACGACATGATCTTTATAAGCCTCATAGTATAATTGTTCCTGTATAGCAGTAGATGCCATACATTTTACCCTAATTGCACAATTGATGTGCATCATGCTTATGTTTATCATACAGGTTGCAAGGACGAACGAAATCTTCAACGACCACGAAGGTTAATCTTTAAGTGTCTAAGCGATCAAATCATTGCCTCAGTACATGCAAGAAACCGACGCGATTTTGTCCTCCAAGAGGAGTGTGTGTTTGCCGGCAATCTGAGTTCAAGCTTCCATAGTCATTTGTGAACACTTCTTTGTTAATGATCAAAATACGTCCATGCAAATAGCATCAATATAAAAAGGTTGAACAGAATAGTTTGATCTGAACGCCCTTAAATTATGCATGTTAATCAAATTTATGACTCAACGACGAGTCGGTTTTACAACAAACATGACATACGTTTCTCAGAAGCCAGATACGTGGGTGGATAGCTGTCCACCTGTCCACCCCGGCATTGTCCCGCGGCTAAATAAAACTGTGTGGGCGGTCGCAGGAGGCACTTCTTCTTACAACTTAATAGCAGTGATGAAAATACTAATTTGAACTCTCCAGCAGAGGGTTAGGCTTTGGTTTATTTTATTTTTGTTACCCTTTTAGCCAGGTGGGGGGGGGGGCTTTCTTTTTTTTTTATGGTATATTTTTTCGGCAGCCAATTTGATACAGTCTTGCCGATTTGATACTGTCTTGCCAATTTGAAACTGTTTTGCCCATTTCCATTTGATACTGCCTTGTAGCCACCAAAAGATCTGCTTGGACATTACAGAACAAGGTCTTCCTTTTTCCGATGGTTTGTCAAAAACATAGAAAACGGAAAATAAGCGGCTTTTTAATGCTAAATCCATATTCATATTCTAGTACCTTTTACATAGCCCGCAGGGTATCCTGTGTTGAGGGAGATAGTTGTAGCTGAGTGCGCCTGCTGTGGGTAGATGATTAAGACTTTCCAGGCGATGCCGCAAAGTTAGACATCAGCGCCTTTAGGCACAAAGATCTCTGATAACAGAGTTTGATCAATGTACACCACTTTATAATGGAGTAGAAGGCTGCATATCAATGTGTTATGTGAGACGGGTCACATTCAGTGGGTCGTTGTGTCTTCAGGCGTGCCTATTTTTTGTTTTGTCTTTCTTCTGTTACTCAAAGGCAGGACGGTTTTGCCGAAGCAATACGCTTATATCAGTGGCACTGTTTTTTAGGATCATGTCATTTAAACATTTAAACTTTAATACGCAAGACTCAATATGTACTTGGGCAGGGAGAGCGTAAGTGCATATTGCAAGTGCACCCTCTCTGAATGGGATGCAATTGTGTCACAATTTTACCAAAAAATTACAAAGACAATAAATGACATAGAGATTACGAAGTAAAAAAGAGCGTCCAGTGCCTTCTTGTTTTGAAACACGGAAAAGCGTGCCGGATTAATAATATTACTCGTATCTGACAACAACGAAGAGCCGCAGGACTTGATTATAATAATGATGTGCACATCTGGGTACAGGCAGTATAACAGGATGCTTTTCTGATGCTTCCGCTACTTTCATTGTGCACAGAACGGGCTACTAATGTTCCCGCCTACGTGTGTAATAGAGGAGCTAGGAAGAAAGGAGTTCAATGAGCTTGTGTTCTCACTGTACACACAGGTGGACCTTTTCATGAGTTCTCTGGTGATCCGATACGCTGAGACTTTCGGTCTCAAGGGAGCGACATCCTTTCAAATGAATAGAGAGGCGTGAACGTAGATATTGATATTTCTACACGGTTGATGGGAACGATACTTTTATTTACAATGCGGTCCCAAACGTACAGGAGAGTGACTGAGTGTATACATGATTGTTGCCAAGTAAAAATCAAACAAGAGAACAGCATACGTATATATAGCCTCTCAGGCAATGTATTTTGTAAACACGTTTGGGACCGCAATCTAGCTCTAACCAATCAGAATTGCCAGGAGAGCAAGACGACAGACGGTCACCGAAACGTAGGCTGTATGAAACATTTAGTTGAATGTGTAAAAACTTCTTTATTCGGTGACTTACTAACCTGATGAAACTATTCACGGACCCTGTCAAATGTAATCTTTTACCCACGAAACTTTTCATCAGGTTGGTGAATGATTCTATAGCAAAGTTCTTTATTCACAGCCACTTGTTTAACAAAAGCCGACCGTATATTTCGACGATCGTCTGCCATCTTCAACAGGGCAATTATTGCCGATTCATTCATCAGGGCAATTATGACTGATTCACTGTGCGTTTTTTCTAATCAATACAAAATGAGCCTGATGTTAGCATCGTTATACAATACGATATTCGGCTCAATCACGTGCACTATTATCACGTTAATATACCTCAAAGTTACTTAATTGCACGCATTGTGTTCCTTGTTACCTCTGTCAATTACATCATACATGATACATAATTAGATAGTACTAGTATATGATTGTATAAATCATCATCTTCAGATCGGGAGTTTGAGTATAAATAAACAATCAAAAAAGTAGAAAATCTCTGAGAGGAGTTCAACTGTAATTGTGCAATTGTTTACTGCAGTCTTGAACTTGGCCATATTAAGAATGTCAGGGAAGACCGAGGCTGGTAATTAGTTCCACAGCCTGCTAGTCCTTGGAGCTAAGGTAGATGAATGTTTGAAATTTTTCAGCAGGGCCATACAGTAGTCAATACAAGAGTATCATCAACTTGGGAACGACTCTTTGAACGTGCCATTCCCCAACGTTGTGGTACTTCCTGACATTGCCACGTCCAGACCTAGACTGGCGCGTTGAACTGTGCAACATCTAGTTTTCTACTCGCTTCTGTATACCCATATCTTGTCTATGATACTCTTGTAGACGTCTAGACAAGAAAAACCCAGGGGTTCTCTTTGGAACAGATCAGCATAGAACTTCATACTGTCGACACGGTTATTGTTCCCCCTGAAGCTTCCCCAGTTGAATCGACTGACGCAATAGCCCAGGGTACCATCCTACTTGTATGCCGGGGCTCCCACACTCGCTTCCCTAAGAAGAAGGGAAGCGAGTGTGGGAGCCCCGGCATACAAGTAGGATGGTACCCAGGCTACTGACGCAAATGATCGAGGTCGTAAAGACAGATGACAGACTTCTAACTGACGTAAAACGCAAATGACAGACTTTTGACTGACGTAAAAAAGCAGATGACAGACTTTTGACTGACGTAAAAAAGCAGATGACAGGCTTCAAAGTAACAACTGACTGACTTCCATACCGCATATTTGTCTGTGGGTAATACGTACTCATATGTTACTTAGATAACAATAAATTCTGCCGTTTAACATGTCATATGTCCAACGAAACGGTACTCTTTCTTCTCTTGGAGTTCACTTTCAGCTTTAAACACTATTATATACACACAACACGTTATACCATAATACTAGTAACTGTTTTCTGAAACTTTACTTGAGAAGAGAATGGTTTTTAATTCAACTTGCTTGTGGGTTACCGCGATAAGGCTATTTAAGGTTCCCGGGATAAGCTTCGTCTCCTCTGACATTCTGGCTTGTTTGAAGGTAAAGGACTTTAATTCTCTTGTGACTAACCTTCACGAAAAGTTCACCTAAAGTTTTTTTTTAACTTTTCCAATTGTTATGTCGACGTAGGAGAGAAAATGGAAAGATTGATTGAGAATGTGCATGATTGTCACAGTGGGAACTATCACTAAGTACACCACATCCAGCGGCTTGCTGTTTCACCCAGCACGCACTTACTCAGTGCGTCAACTTTAATCCACAGTCTTACCTTTGATAAAACGGGAAGCAATCCCGGTGTTTGACATCGTCATTAGCGGGCAGTCTCGGACACGGGGGGCGTAGACTGGCGCAGGAAAGGGGTAATCTATCATGTCGAGACGTCTGGTGGAAACCAGCGGTATATAAGGAGACCTGCGGAGAAAGCCTCGTCACACCTGAGTGGAGAAGAGGTACCGAACTGAACATGTCTGTCCCGTGCGTCGTCTGTCTGATGGTCCTGATGACTTTCAGCTTGTCCTCAGCAGTTGTTGTCGTCACAGGGGTAAGAGTGCTTGTTTATTGGTCCAGTTCTACTAGTCTCCTTGTTAGGCTTACGAGTTGAACTTTTGTTTGGGGGGCTTACATGTATTTTGTGCCTTTTTTAAATTTCTATCGTATGAGACTGTAGATTGAAGCAATGAGAATATTTGTGTTGCTTTTTTTGTTGATTTTATTCCCCTAAGTAGGCTTACGAGTTGGACTTTTGGGGGGCTTATTTTGTGCTTTTTTAAAATTGTTTATCGTTTAAGATTGTAGATTGTAGATATGTCATAATGTTTCGTTAACCATAAAATCTAGAACGGCCATACTATACTACGTGTATTAGGTAAAAAAAGCATAATATGATAAACAACAAAATAATCCCAACTTGTAAACTTGCTAAATTGCTTTATCGTATAAGATGCCAAATACTGGCGGCAGAATTGATTGTGTTCAATGGTAAGTGTTGACGCTGACAACTTAGGTTATTCCATGACATATAAAAACCCAGGAAAGAAACTGCCCATGATGGTACGACAAGCCGTTTTGCTACAATTGTTCTCGGTAATTGTAGGTGCATACGGATGTACAAGGACAGGTAATACTGTTGAAAACAGGAAAAATATACCTGTTGGTTGTGATATCATGTTTTATCACCAAAAATTCTTGTGTAATGTAATATATAACAAAGTGCATGATCTCAAAATTTGAAAATGTAGCGCTAGGAATCTTTTTTTTTTAATTGCCCACCTTGTTTATTTGCCCTAGCGCGCATTCAATTTGGAGTCTGTGGGCGATGTCATACATAAAATGTACCTGCTATGGACTACATTTGTATGCCTGTTGAGTAAGGGGTTACCACGGAGTTACTCTGTAATCACTGTAAGCATCGCAGGTATCAATGCTTTGCTATCATTAACAACGGTATGATAGTTGGGAACGTCATACGGTTAATACATGACCAAAGTGCTTCTCTAAAAAGATTTGTTAAAAAATGACGTGCGTCGTGTAAAAAATTCTAATTGGCCAATCACAGTCACAAATGGTACTCTTACGTGCATACTGTTGGGTAATTATACGGCTAGCTTTGAAATATAATAGGATGTCAGTTGACACATGTTGCAAATCTGTCACGACCTAAGTACTCGTGTTTCAAAGCCTTGTGCGTAGGCGTTCTAATTTTGTGGGTGCCACAAAGAATTATGGACAATTTTGACATTAAAAAACACAAAGGACCGCTTTTGCCTCTCGGCACAATTGTATTCGACTTTTTACGAATATCCCTTAAGATTTGGCTGGACCCACGATTCGTAATTTACTTCATGTTCAGCTGCATTAGAGGGACTATCCATTCTACTGTACAGTAAATGTAGTAAAAGTTCGCTCACTTCAATAGTAAAAGGAAGTTGAACATGAGTTCCACGATCTCATCCCGTTACCAAATGATGTTAACCGTTCCACCATTTGACTTATCGTGCTAAACTGCACACACACACACAAATGCTTACCTTCGCAGTAGGAAAATATGATATTGTTTTTGCTCAGTTTCGTCTTCTTCTCCAAACACGTATGGTATATAACCTAGTCCAGACGGCTGTAACCATCATGAGTAACTGGTGCTTTACCCCTCTGGAACAAAGGTTAATATGTAAATGTTGTAATCTGAATAGAATAGAGGACGAATGTCACTTTGTTATAGAATGTAGATTATATAGTAAAGAGAGAAGTGATCTGTATAGGCTTGTACAAAACCTATTTCCTTATTTCATACACTTGAGCACTGTAGAAAAATTCATATTCCTGATGCGACTTGACAAACCTTCCATCGATAAACATATCTGTTCATTTATCTCTACCATAACTGAAAAGCGAGAAGTCGAATTTATGTGATGATAGTTAGTTTTATTTTGTATATATTTCTCCATTATGTTTTGTTTTGACCTGTACTTAGCCCAGTGTGGCAAAAATGTGCAATAAAGGTCGTCATTCATATTCATATTTTATCACCGTTGAAGTACATTATGTAGCAAGTTGGAGGGGCTGGTCACAATATATATGAATGTGTTTCAGACAGATTAAACAGTGTCTAGACCATGTTAGGGTAAATATAATGTATTTGTTTGGGAATGTTACCTCTCTAGATTTTTATCATTGCTATGTTTTATTTTATTTCAGGTGTGTAAGAGTGACTCGGAGTGTATGGCGGCTAAAGGACAGGGTGCGTGCTGCGCGGCCATGAGTCCAGACCCGTTGTTCCGCGGAGTTCCCGTCTGTAAGATGACGGGTCAGGAGAAGGAGCCGTGCCACGTCGCCTCCAACGTGCTGCCCTACCCGCTGCCCAGTCCCCGGGTGTTCTGGCGCTGTCCGTGCGGGCCCGGGCTGCACTGTGTGGCGCCCAGGGGCGGGAAAGTCGGCCGCTGCAAGAGGGATAGCCAGGCTTTCGGCGCAGGATTGGACGGAGAGGACCTAGTGGTTTAAAACATTGGAACGTTCGAACCGTAGAACGCCGTCATTCGAACGCCAACATTCGAACGCGTTCGAACGAATGTCTCATAAACACAAAGTCCGTTCTTAGAGCGTGTTCGAATGTTAGTGAAAACGACGCTATCATCCCTTTTGTGCAATGACGCAGTCAGTTTTTTGTGGTCCTTACTACTACTAGCCGTGACAACTCCTGGAGGGCGCCCAAGGGTTTGCTTATTGTCTTATCACCCGGTACAATCTACGCCATTCTACGTCATCAAAATGATGCTAAGTGAGTGGTGGAGTTTCCTCAGGGTAATCTGATCTAGTCTACAGGGTATACGTACTATAGTATCGCATAATATCATCTGATGCCACATATTAGCCTGACGTCTTCAAATTTGCATGCAAATTGGACCGTATGACGGCAGTAAATTACGCTCCTTTGTCTCCACGTAATCTTAAAACTTGACGATGAGATACACTACCATCTCACACCAATATCCCTGAAGGACGCTAGAAGACCAAATAGTAGCACTCGAGTTCCGCAACTCACGTGTACTAAGCGGCTGCCCCGCGCCATTTTGAAGACGTAGATTGTGACCCCTGTTGCCTTGGCAACTGTTGGAGGACTTAAGTGAATAATTCCATCAAGTTGCCATGGAATTGTATCACAGGGTTCTTCATCCAACAACTAGTGCGGGATATCGCATTCGACGTTTTGGGGACCGTCTGTCACCATCTAAAGGGCAACAATGAGTTGTTCTGGTGTTGAAAGTTACAGCACGAATCAGAACCAGTTGTCTTTCTGTCATCTTCTTCAGGGCAAGAAAAAAAGACTGGTTCTGATTCGTACTGCTACTCGCAGAACCAGAACAACGTAACTCATTCTTGCCAGAAGAAGGTGACAGACGGTCACCAAAATTTCTGAGGCAAATATCCACTGGTTATTAAATAAAGAAACTTGCAGTACATAAACAGGTAGAGAACTTGTTACTAGCCTTGCGTACAGAAGGGTTGTGTTGGCTAAAAAGCCTCCAACATACTTTATGGGTGACGGCTAGGATCTCAGTGTTGCATATCATACATGAGAACTAGTATTAAGTCAGAATCTTAACATGGCATAGCTGTAGAAGAACGATTTACTGGTTTGAACATGTAAACCACTGAACAATTTACGTTCATAGATATCTCGCTTTTACTGTTTTTGTGCCCATAGAGAAGTAGACATGTAACCATATGTGCTTGTAGACATATATGGAAAGCTCAAATTATTTAACATAGCAAGCAAGCAATATGCTAGTATAATTTTTCTAGATTAGACATGTTGTACTGTGCGTAGCAAAATGACTTTCTGTTGTCACAGTTGTTTAGATGAAAGCCGTTAGCGACCAAGATTGGATTTCTTTGGCGTATGAACTTGCCAATTGAATATTGAATATGATGCACGATGTAAGAGTATGATTGGGAGTACAACAAGAATACAGATACCCTTCTTTATGAATGAAATTTAAAATACGAACTACTAATAGTGCGACTCAGAACAATTGGTGCAGGTAGATAAAGTAACAAACTTTTTATACTTAGCCAGACATGGATGTATGTAATCAGTAGTTAGCATTTGGCATTATGCAGCAGCAGTTAGCATTAACCAGATACTAGTAGCAGTCACGAAAAACTAATAAAGAGGTAAAACAAAACATGGCTTTTGCTTGTCGCCGATTGTGTTCTAACTTTAGTGGAAAGACAAACCACGTTCTCCTTCTTTTTTTTCTCTAGAGTCGGACTCTAAGCTGTTTGTACTGAAGGGGTAGGTTAGTGTTTGACGTCGACGTTGGTCCGGTTGTGAAATGTCAAGATGACATGTGGGCGTTATGTGTAGGCTTCACTTGCGTCACCAACCACTTAACACAACACATACAGAACCCATCCTGACACATATCGATCGGGTTTGATGTGTTACTGTGTAAACAGCAAATACTAACATCTGTCGTGTAATTAAAATGTGTAACATCTGTCACACTGAAAAAATAATTCCTGGTGTTACAAGTGTTTACTTCCTGTGAGAATCGTAATGCTTTTCCTGGAATCCGTCTTATGTAAACTTTGCTGACGTCAGCATTTTTATTCCGTGTAGGAGGTCAGTGACCTCACGGAATATTGTAATCAGCTGTATCTGTTGTAAGACGTTCACAGCTGTAACTCACGACACCTTACTTGTTAGAGAGGGCATCAAGCACCTTAACAATACCATAATTACTTCAGAGGATTGTGCCCTATGGACGTTTGTTTTCGGTTTTGTTTCGATAGCATTGTATTTTAATAGCCGGACTGCCTAACCACGCCGCCTCGTCAAACAAAGCAGTATTGCAGGCCGGTGGTCTTGCATTTAATTTCGGCTCGACTCAGATTTGCTTGACTCAGTGGCGCCCCTAGCGGGTCTTTTGTGAGTTACACCATGATTTATTTCAAATTTAAAGCACTTGTAGTCGTTACATGACAATAGTGGTTACACACAGAAAGAGAGAGAAAGAGATACTTGCACACACACACACACACACACACGTACAAAATACTCTCTCAAACACACCCAGATACACACACGCGCATACACATACACATACACATACGCACAAGCACACACGCTCACACACACAACGAAAACACACACATGCAGACATAAAATCTCAAAAAGATATACACACGATCACACGCACATACATATACATACAAAAAACACACACAGGCATGCACGCATAAACTCTCTCACAAACACAGATGCATACGTAGACACTTACACACAAAAACACGCGCGCGAGCGAGCAAACACACACTGTCAGTATCCACAGGCAGCACCGATAACACACTGCCGGAGGTAAGAATTTATCCTAAGCTCAAAGGGTCCTCATGTCTGAGTCTAATCCATAAAGAGAGCCTCCCTCCGCTCGTTTCTACCCGAACCGCTCCATCTCCATTCCGCCCACGCCGGCTCGCTCAGTAACCGGGAGATAAGCGCGTCCCTGGCCGCGTGACGTCAGCTAATGGATGCTTCTGACTGGCTTTGCCGTAGAACTTCTGACCTCTGGGTCAGCACTCTCTCTTCAAACCTGACAGGAAGACGGAGAGTCTAGCTTCTACACCCACTCCTACTTAGATTAGTTCCAACCTCAAGGAACTAGCCTCATTTTACGTCGTTGAACGTTAGACATCCAGGTAATAAGACACGCCAAAAACAGTTACTCAAGCAACTGGATGTGATTTTGGAAACTTGACGAACTAGAACTCCATTAACAAAACACTTTCTTGGTCGTTTCCACATAGATCATTATCACCCAAAGGAAAACTGTTGAGGCATGTAGGCGGGTAGATTTTGATAAAGAGCTACCGACGCTCAGGCTCCGGATATTCCTTAGAATTCTTACAGATCATAATCAGCTACAATTCAATTCCGCCTTCTGGTGACAGTTGATCTAAAGTGACATTGAGCTTGATAACGTCCTGACTGTCGTGCTAATCAAACCAACAAGAATATTAAAAAGAATCGGTCAACTTCATTCCTTGTGCATCACGATTCTCACATACAGGCTTGTATAGAATATCAAATTCAGATTTAAATTATTCCAATGACATAGCAGGTACACAAAATCTCGTGCCGATTTGCATAACGACACTCTGGAGCATGTTGGCAGTACAAAGATTGATAGCTACTCCCTTTAATTAGCGAGGTCGCACAGAGTTGCGGTCGTCAAGAGGGTGAGAGGTGTCGCCACTTAGGGTGCGTGTGGAGCTATCTTTAGCATCACTGATGACGAAAGCACTTAACGTGTAAATTCTCAGCGCAGTGGGGAGGATCTAGTCAGAAAGCCATCCTATAGAGATCGAACACGTCGAACCCCCTGATCGATTTCGAACGCTGATTTTGACCGAGGTATTTATTGATATATAGAACAGGTGTTCAAAATGCAATAGGTGTTCGAAATAGAAAAGGTGTTCGAAATAGCACAGGTGTTCAAGATAGAACAGGTGTTCGAAATAGAACAAGACCTGATGTTCGAAATGAAACAGGTGTCCGATCACCAATATTCTATTCTAGCTCAACTCTGCTCCTCTCATCACTTCTTTCTATGAAATATTCTGCTGGGAAGTGATCGGAGTGACAGGAAGGAGTTGAATATGATGGGTTTCTTACGAACCCTGTAGTGGATGACAAAAATTTGCAAAACAGCAGAAATTGACCAAAAATTGTAAACAAGATACATGTATAACAAAACCGAAAGTTCAGTACCAAGGACAGCCACCGGAAGCCATTTTTCTTCAACTTCTTTTCTCTAGCCTGCTTAAATCGCGCTCACAGTGGCCATCGGAGTCAAGGAAAATGGAGTTTTGTTGCACAGACTATCGTTTTCCAGACACTAACAATTTTCCTTACAAACTATCCATAGTGTACTGTGTTATGCTTTCAAACCATTAACTAACGTTGTTTTTCTGTTACAAACGTTGTCAAAACGTCACCTTCTTGGTAATGACATACCATAACGTTAGGGGTATAAGATAAACATGTCATAACATTTCTTTTCTGGCCTTTTTTTTGCAAATTTCTATTTTTGTCCGCCACTAGAGGAGTCTGGTGGAGGCCAGAGTTGTTCGTGGACGAATGCGTTCGTGTCAACCTCCTGCAGCTATACGGAGGAAACTGCCTGTAGTTTAAGACATCTCTGGTGTAGAAATAACGTGTTACATATTCTCACACTTAGTAACGTGTTACATATGTAATCTGATAGTCTAAATGACCAAGTCATGGTTCTTAGGCCCGTGGACCAGATAGCGCATACAAAACATCATGTCACCATACATGTATATCAATATAAGAGTTCACATCACTAAGGTCCGAGAATATCTTATGATCCTGTGTCGTTAACTAAATCATTGGAACTGACTACCGTGTTAGATTCTCGGATCGGACAGCCATGTCATCAACCTTCATTAATGTATAGCTTCATCTTCGCCAGCGAAGACAAGTCAAGTCGTCAGGTTTAGTATTGACCGAGACAACGTAGGAAACCACCCATTTCACCTGGCATTACTGTACATAGAAAGAATGCATACTCGTATGAAATCACCATTACCCGCTCTAAATTGGAGTAGATCTCAAGAGGGATATGCTCTCCACGCGTTCTCAAGACGCTACAGGTAATTCTTGGAGTATGAACTTGCAAGAACAGGTTACAAAAATATAAACTCACAAACCCACCACCTTTC